TGCTGTTGTTGTTGTTGTTGTTGTTGTTGTTGTTGTTGTTGCTGCTGCTGCTGTTGAAGCTGCTGCTGTTGGGCGTAGTCAACTCCCTGAGCAGCCACAAACTGATCGTATTGCTGCTGCTGCTGATCGGCCTCTCTTCCCATCCAAACGCCCGGCTGCGGCTCCAGCGGCTGCTGAAGCTGTCCCAGCATTTGCTGCTGTTGTTGCTGCTGTTGTTCCTCCAACGTTTGCGGCAGTGTAAAGTGCTGCTGCTGCTGCTGCTGCTGCTGAGCCTGTTCCAGACTTCGCAGGTGCTTACTGTAGTGCGTCGGCGAGGCGTTCAGCTTGGGAAAGTTGATGGCCGCCTGTGTGCGCGTCGGTATGGTCGGCGAGTGGGACACCAGCGGAAAGTTGATCATCAGACTGGGATCGAGGAGGCCCAGGGGAGGAAGTAGCGGAGGCGGTGGGCACTTCTTCTTCTTGCTGCCGCCAATGCCCATCAGCGTCGAGGCGACGGCCGGGGTGCTGGGCAGCAGGCGTCGCTTGGCGCCGGTAAAGAAGCGCCCAGGGAAGCGGCGCAACTGCTGCTGCAGCGGCAACGACGTCGCCGAGGTGGTCGGGCTGGGCGACCGCGACCGTTGCTCTAGCTGCGTCGTACCATAGTACTCCGTCTTTGTGGGATCCTATCAAAAAGGTAATGAGTAAAATTAGTTTCAAACCCTTAAATGATATCACTAAAAAACCCATACCGTCGGATGAGGACTGGGACTGCGCGACGGTCGATCGAGATCCATCTGCGGACTGTAGCCTGATGGCCGCTGGTGATAGCCGCCGCCGTCCATCGGCGAGGTGGAGTGACTCCTTCTGCCGTCCTCCTCCTCCATCATCATCCTCGCCCGTGCCCGCTGCTGCTGCTGGACGTAGTACTGCTTCGAGTGCGGATAGTGGAACATCGGCTCACTGGGGCCGTCATCCTCGGGACCGGGTCCTCGCCAGGGCCCGCGGTAGCGGTAGGCACTGCGACGGTGGCTGCCATTCCTCGTCAGGCCGCCCATCATCTGCTGTTGCTGTTGCTGCTGCTGATACTGCTGTTGTTGCTGCAGCTGTTGTTGTTGTTGTTGCTGCTGTTGTTGTTGCTGTTGGGACCACTCATCGCCGGCTCGGACTTTGGCTAATGAAAGAAAAAGGGTCAAGATAAGTGTCTGGGAAAATATACAAAACAAACACTTACATCTGGCTCTGCCCTTCCTCGACGTCTCGTACTTGACAATATCGACTAGATCGGTGACGGTGTCAGCAAAGACCTCGCCGCCGCCGCGTTGCTGCTCCTTCATCGGCGAGCGCAGCTCCTGATCAGCGCCGTCCATACCGTNTGCTGCTGTTGCTGTTGAGACCACTCGTCGCCGGCTCGGACTTTGGCTGAGGAAAGAAAAAAGGTCAAGATAAGTGTCCGTGAAAAACAATAAACAAAACAAACACTTACATCTGGCTCTGCCCTTCCTCGACGTCTCGTACTTGACAATATCGACTAGATCGGTGACGGTGTCAGCAAAGACCTCGCCGCCGCCGCGTTGCTGCTCCTTCATCGGCGAGCGCAGCTCCTGATCAGCGCCGTCCATACCGTCACCTCCGGGTACCATCGGATGATGTCCTCGCTGTTGATGGCCTTCACTGCTGGTCATGACCATCGTACCACCACCACCACCAAGACCGCCTGCCGCCGAGGTGGCCGTCGTCGTGATGGTCGTCGTGGTGGTGGTCGTCACCGTTGATGCGCCCATCTTTGCCATCTCCGCCGGGTGATCGCCTCCAGCGGGCGCAGACGGGTGCACCGGCGAGGAGGCTGGTCGATGCTGCGCACCCGCCGCCGTCATTGCGGTCATCACCGAGGGCGAGCGAGAGCGTGATTTGCGTCGGCGGAAGGAGCCGCCGCCGCCACGCCCTCCGCCCCGACCTGCATCAGGGTGAAGGTGGGTGGACATGGCCTGCGCCAGGGCACTCACCACACCGGCCTCCTTGTGGGAGNACCACCACCACCACCAAGACCGCCTGCCGCCGAGGTGGCCGTCGTCGTGATGGTCGTCGTGGTGGTGGTCGTCACCGTTGATGCGCCCATCTTTGCCATCTCCGCCGGGTGATCGCCTCCAGCGGGCGCAGACGGGTGCACCGGCGAGGAGGCTGGTCGATGCTGCGCACCCGCCGCCGTCATTGCGGTCATCACCGAGGGCGAGCGAGAGCGTGATTTGCGTCGGCGGAAGGAGCCGCCGCCGCCACGCCCTCCGCCCCGACCTGCATCAGGGTGAAGGTGGGTGGACATGGCCTGCGCCAGGGCACTCACCACACCGGCCTCCTTGTGGGAGGGGAAGGGGGGGGGGAGGGAAAGAAGATTGAGATTAGACAAAAGGCAGTGCAGGTAATTACTGAAAGGTGACACGAAAAACAAAGGGAAAGTGGTAAAGGACAGAGAGTGAGAGAGGTGCTACTAGAGCTACTGGTGAACTAGAGCACACGGGTGAGAAAATGTTTGAGAAAAGGAGGCAAAGGCAAGACAAGCGCACACAGTGATGGAGATTGGACACATGTAACAATAACAACAGAATATCGACCCTAATCAGTAAATGTGAAAAGTTAAGTGGTCATTTGAAGATTAGTTAGTTAGTTATCTCAGTGAAGCTGAGCAAAAGAAGCCCACCGGCCCGCGTACGCAAACACAAACCACCCACACACAGAAAGGGACAGAAAAGAAATATTCCTGAAAACAGAAAAAGCAAAAATGCCTAGAAAAAAAACGCAAAAAAGTAAAGTAAGACAGCAGTGAGAAAAATCTGAACAGAGAAAGAAACAGATAAAAAGTGATGTGACATATAGAGAAAAAAAGTAAAAAAAATAAAGTGTCGAAGAAGGTTAATTTCACCAGGTGAAATAACACACACAACAATGACCAGACAACATGAAAAAACCGCACGGCAGCAGCAGTGATTTTGCAGCATGTGTGTGTGTGTGTTTGAGTGTGCAGTGAAAGGTGAGAAAGTGTGACGTGAAGTGTGTATGAGACAGCAACCACCAGCAAATCAGCAGCAGCACCGGCAATGACGTGTCTTCAGCGATTAGCAGCTCAGCAAAGCCAACACACACAGATAATGAAGCAAAAGCAACAACGGCAGTGACAGCAGTGGCAGCATCAGAAAGAACAAGACTCACTTCACCGTCTGGTGGAGTAGTAGGAACAGTAGGAGGAGGAAGAGGAAGAGAAGGAGGAGGAGGAGAAGATCTCATGGAATGGTGTTGATGATGATGGACACTAGGATCCACTCCATCAGCCTCTACCAGAGAATGGGTACTAGTGCTAGAGGTGGGTGAGTCTTCCTCTTTTAGAGTGCTCAGAGCTGAAGGCGGTGGCAGTGGTGGTGGCGGTGGAGAAGGTGGCCCACTGGGCGGCTGCTTGTGAATGTTGGCCGTCACCACCACCAGGTGCTGACTGTCGCCGTCACTCTCCCCGAAGAGGTCCTCCTTGTCACGACCCTCAAAGCTGCCGGAAGCCACTGAAGGCGTCGAAGGTAGTACTCTTCTCTTTGGGGGGTGGTACTGCTGGTGGTGGGGATGATGATAGTGAGGAGGCGGCTGATGGTGATGATGCTCCACAACTGCCGTCGTCTGCTTCGGCTCTGGCTCATCATCGCCACTGCCGCCGCTACTTGCTGCTACTGGCTGCCGGCTAAAAGTGGTCATTGCCATCGAGTCGCTTTTCAACTGCTGAGACTGACCACGATGTGAGTGATGACGACGGTGAAGTTGTGGCTGGTGCTGATGATGATGATGATGATGATGGGGATCAGCTTTGGAAGCACTGGAAGTGGTCGTCGAGGTGGTGGAACTCGGCGAAAAGAGCGTCTGCTGCTGTTGCTGCTGTTTGGGCGACAGCACCGCCGAAGCTGAGGTGCTGCTCTCACCGACGACACCATCTGCTTGAGCGGAAGTTTGTGATTGAGCTGCTGCTTTGGATGATTCGGGCGGTTGAGACTGTTGCTGTTGTTGTTGCTGTTCTTCAGTAGCCGCCGCCGTCGTTGACTTTGGTGGTTCAATGGCAAGCACCGGCGGCGGCGGCACCGGTAGCTGCACCGAAATGCCCGCCATGCTGCTGATAGCGTATAGTGAGCCACGCAGGTCAGAGTGTCGCAGCGAGGTGGCCATTGGCATCAGCTCGTACTCCTTTAGATGATGATTTTGTGTTTGTCAGGCGTTTTGATGATAGCAGTAAAGGTTAATAATTATGTTTTGATGACAACAGTTATACGAATAGAAAGAATATAGAAAAGAACACCAAAGAAGAGAGAAAGAGAGAGGCATTCGCAAAGGGTAAAGACGCAAGGGAGCGAGCGACGTCAGCTTTGTAATGTGTGTGCGTTTTCAGTGATTGGGCGTGTGTGTGAGTGTTAGCGAGTGGGTTTGCGAGCAAAAGTGCCAAATATGAAAGAAGTACTTGAAGAATAAAAACGCTTTGCCTAACAAATCCGCAAAGGAAAACTGCTTACAACTCTGTGTCTTTGCTTTGAAACGCCAGTTGTTGACCTCCAAACCTTGGTTGATTGAAAAGAGATACTCTACAAACCGCATCTAAAACGGCTTCACCTGTTTAAAGATGCATTCCAAAACCGAAAAAAAGTAAAATCGGAAAAAGGGCGGACAATGCAGAGGGGGCGGGAGGGCAGACAAACTGAGTGACGATGCTTAGGGGAAAAGTATAGCAAACCTCATCTTCGAGTAGGTGCTGGTGTGACTTGTCCTTCTTCTTGCGACTCGATCCCCGCCGCATAAAGCTAAAGGTGCGCTCAAAGCCGCGGTCCTTGTTGTCGTCACTGCTGTTGGGTAGAAAAGCATTTAGGAAGTTAGCACCGATCAATCAACAGCCAATTCAAGTATACCTTTGATCCTTGATGGAGCCCTTCCGTGGGTGAATGCCCATCTCATCAAAGTTTTGCTCCTCAGGAGGCAGGTTCTGATTTCGCACTGCACCCATCAGACGTTGCAGCAGTGAAGGACGCTGTTGTAGTATGGTGTGGTGATGTAGTAGTGTTTGAACGTATTGAATAAAGTGCAGCGAGTTTTTGTGCAATGAATTTGGGGAGAAAAAAACAAGAGGGGCCGTTAAGTGGGCGAAAAAAGGGCGAGGATTAGTGAGGTGAAATTAAAAGCATGGAGGCAAAAGTTGAGAATGAAATTTAGGTGAAAGACTGTGGTGATTGAAGTGAAGCGAGAAAACCAACAAAGAGAAAACCGGGTGAGCGCACAGAAGTGGTGAAACAACAAAAAAGAGGAAGAAAAGGTCGAGAGAAGGCAAACAGGCAAAAGTAGAAGTGTGAAAAAATAGAGAGAGAAAAGACTAGCGAGCAGTGAAAAATGCAATTAAAAAAAAGAGGCAGGCAAATGAAAGATAGTTTGGATATGGTAAAAGGATGTAGTGATAGAGGTGATAACAACAAAATGAAAGGTGGTGGTGGTACTGGTGAAGGGAGCGGAAAGTTGATAAAAGCTGAATATAAGAAAACTGAAAAAACAAATTCTAAACTTTCTAGCTAGTGGTGTAAGTATCCTGATGACTGTAAATAAGAGTATGTGTGATAAAAGAGTGTACATGTGAATTGATAAGTCAATGTTGATGTGAAAAAAAAGTTAAAAGAAAAAGTGTGTTAACAGAGAGAACAAGTGAAAAATACGATTGCANAGTGATAGAGGTGATAACAACAAAATGAAAGGTGGTGGTGGTACTGGTGAAGGGAGCGGAAAGTTGATAAAAGCTGAATATAAGAAAACTGAAAAAACAAATTCTAAACTTTCTAGCTAGTGGTGTAAGTATCCTGATGACTGTAAATAAGAGTATGTGTGATAAAAGAGTGTACATGTGAATTGATAAGTCAATGTTGATGTGAAAAAAAAGTTAAAAGAAAAAGTGTGTTAACAGAGAGAACAAGTGAAAAATACGATTGCAGATGATGGCGAATGGCCAGAATGGTCAGTAAGTAAGTAAATGAAATCAACCAGCAGCGGAAACAGCGCTTTGAAATTGAGAGCAATTGTTGTGTAGATGTTTTGGATGCAAACACACTGTGTGTCGTTCAATTCAGTTACCAGCAAAAGTTACAAACAGTTTACAAACAGTACAGTTACAGAGGAAAAGGCAGTAGTACAAGAGGCAGCAGATCGCAAGAAGGCATCGA